GTTTTAGAATTCAGGATCCTCACTACTACTGCTGCCAGCCTAATTAAGCAAGCATCCCTGACTACTGTAGGTAAAGAGTATTGTATTCTCTTTTAAGATACACATATAAACTTGCTACTATATTTATTTAGGTTCGACTTTACTGGAGCCCAGCTTAGCTTTGACCTTTGCAGACTGGGTAAGCTTTCATCTTACTGTGAGTTATAAGGCAACCTGGTATTTAGTTTACCTGCAAAAGGCAGTTAGGAAGCCCTAGAGGGACCTAATTAAAATGCAGCACATTTCCAAGGCACCATATCTTGCTGTGTTGCCATAGAAACGATGGGAATTTCTGGTCACTGACCTTTAAGGGAATCTGAGGATACATTTTCATAAGGTTCATAAGAGAAGCTATCCGAGTACAATAATCTATAGTTGCAGGACAAACTTTGGAAATCTCCTATGCAGTCCTACCTAACTTTAGAAATATATCAGTAAAATTACTAAAAGCTCAAACTCAGATTTTTCAAAGGATTTTTTGAAAATGCTTCCAATATACCACCTGTGCTACTGGATTTTTAAAAATCAAAAATACTACTGTAGCAGCAAAAAACATGAAAGGAAATCTTAGATAATTATACAGTAGATATTAGAACTAAAATTATATTTTGAAGTAGATTGTGTTATATCTGTTCTATTGCATTTGGATTCTTCAAATCCAAACTTATGAAAGGATTAAAATATAACATTACTATATCCAAAAAATACACCTAGAAAATCAGAGCTTATTAAAAATGTTAAGGTATTAACATTATTTAAAATATAGTTAGTTAATTTATGCCTTTTCTGGTGTATTCATTTATAAATTCAGTTATTAAATTATTAAGTTAATGAAAATCATAGTTAAAATTTATTTAACATATATATTATATATATATATAATATATATATACACATATATATATATATACATATATATATATGTATATATATATATACCACTTGACAGGAGCCTAGTACCCATCATTCAACAGAAAAAATGACAAAATCTGCCTTACTATAGACTGCTGTTATTATATTAACATTTTTATCTTCTGAAAATAAATAAGTCCTATGGTCAGTATATGTACAGTTTAGTCATAAGGAAATATTAATCAATGGAAATATTTCTTATTTCTCCTAGAATAGGAAATATATCTTTATATATATGAGAATCACTTATTCCAGAATAGTCATCTGAAGAAAAATAGAAATATACTAATAATTATATGTAGACAAGTGAGTCTACTACCCTTTTCCTAGACTTATGGAAGATTCTCTTACATATTTGTGTGTCCTCACTCTGAGAGACAATGTCACCTCAGGACTGAGAGCACAGGCTCTGTCCCTATATTGATTGGGACTGTTGGCCCTGCCACTTACTAGCTGTGTGACTATGAGAAAGCTACTTAGCCTGTAGGTGCCTCAGTTTGCTCATGTATAAAATGCGGACTGTACAGCATAGGGAATAGAGTCAGTAATATTGTAATAACTATGTATGGTGCCAGGTGAAAATATGGGGGGACCACTTTGTAAAGTATATGATTGTCTAACACCTGAAACTAATACAAATTAATATTGTAAACTGTAACTGAAAAATAAAAATTTAAAAAGTCAGTGTTTAAAATACACTGCAATGTATATCTTTACAACTATTTAATCTTAGAAAACGTTTGGTTATCAATCTAACAATGCGTGTGAGAGGAAGAGGATGGTAGAAGGATGCACATATTTCTAAAATTGTTTCGGGGGTACTTGAGCAAACATTTTTGGCAACACCCACTGTGGGATTTGGAAGCTCAAGTGGCAGAGTCGAACCTCCCCCCCTCCAACTGCACTGTGCAGTCCAGTAGCCACAGGCTACATGTGCCTCCTGGGCACCTGAAATCTGGTTAGTCTGAATAAGATATAAACCCTATACATGTAAACTAAATACTGGGTTTCAAACCTTAGTACTAAAAAAAAATTAAAATACGTCAGCAGTAATTTTTGTATTGATTACATGTAAAAATAATATTTTTGATATATTGAGTTAAATAAAAGGGGTTATTAAAATTAAAAAAGGAAATGAGAATAATAGCACTTTTTAGGGTTATTTTGAGAATAATGAGTTGATATTGATAAATCAGACCAATATTTGATACACATTTTTAAAAAAACATCTCCAATTCCAGGGACAGAGCAAACAGGGAAACACAATCCCTGTTACATTTCTGTCCAAGGCAGAAAGAACACAGTGGGATGGAGTCAGCCAGAAAAAACAGACCGCCGTCCGCGTGTGGACAGAGGTGTCTGTCAAGCTGGCAGTTAGAAAATGCTTTCTTCCTCCTCAGTGTAGGTGCAGACAGTGCTCTCAGAGTTAATGGTCACCCTTGAGGGTGTGTGTGTGTGTGTGTGTGTTTAATCTAATAGCTACCTACTGGATGAGCCAGAAGGATGAAGAAGCAACTCGCACGCCACGCTGGGGGGAGATTTTGAAAAAGATCCAAGTTGCAGCACCAAACCAGGCGCTAGGTCCCTGTGCTGCCGATTTTGCGCCAAAGCCCACCCTGACCTGTTTTGCTAGCGCCCTCCCTGAGTCAGCTGAGGCTGAATAACTCAGATTTGGGGGAAGGAAGTCTCAGAATAAACCTGGGACTAGGCCGCCCCTCGGGGCGCTTGTCAGGTTAATGTCTCAGCAGCGGATGTGAGCCGAGCTTCCCGAAGAGGCTCGTGCCTGACACAACCTTTCGCTTAGGCGACGGGCACAGAACCAGTCCTGGTGAACACCTTCCCATGGAATTTCTAGGCACACATTAGGACTAGAATGCTTTTTGTGCCAAGATATTTTAACTTCCCATGTTGTTTTCCTAACTAGGAACACTCGTGAATGAATGTACATGAAACGAGCGCCTTTCCGGTTCTCTCCAGGCTGAGGCTACACAGGCAGCTTAAGGCTGGTGGTCGCCTCTTTCCAATTAGGCAAAAATAGGAAGTTTCTACCGTGGGCGCTCTTATTTACAGCCATGACAAGCACTCCTCCTTCCTTCCTTGCCAGTGCCTAACCTACATCCAATTACTCACAGTTACGTATAATCTGCCTAGAACTTTAGAATATTTTTTCATAAAATTAGACTTTCTGCTAGTGAGTTTTTATTCCCATGCTCCCACCCCCTCCTCTTGGGCAGCCATCAGCTTGTTCTCTGTATCTACGAGTCTGTTTCAGTCTTGTTTTTTTTATTATTATTTTTGATTGTACATATGAGAACATATGTTATTTATATTTCTCTGACTTATTTCACTTACATGGGCTTAGAGGGTATTACGCTGTGTTGTCACAAATGACAAGATGTCATTCTTTTTTGTGTCTGAGTAACATTTCGTTGTATAAATGTACCCCATCTTCTTTATCCATTTGCCTATCAATGGACACTTAAGTTGCTCCCATATCTTGGCTATTAGTAGTAACACTGCAAGGAACATAGGGGTGCATATGTATTTTCAAATTAGTGGTTTTGTTTTTTTCAGATAAATACCCAAAAGTGTTATTACTGGATTATATGGCAGCTGTATTTTTAATGTTTTGAGTAATCTTCATACTGTTCTCCATAGGGCCGCACTAATTTATCATCTCACCAACAGTGTGCAGTTCCCTTTGCTCCACATCTCACCAGCCTGTTGCTTGTTGATTTATTGATGACAGCCATACTGCAGGTATGAGGTGATACTTCATTGTGGTTTTGTGTTTCTCTGATGATTAGTGATGCTGAGCATCTTTTCATATATCTGTTGGTCGTCTGTATGTCCTCTTGGGAGAAAAGCCTATTCAGGTCCTCTACCTATTTTGTAATTGGAATTTTTTTGGAGGGAGCAGTTAAATCACATGAGTTCTTTATATATTTTGCATATTAACTTTTATTGAATTTATCATTTAAAAGTATCTTCACCCATTCAGTAGGCTGTCTTTTCGTTTTGTTGATGGTTTTCTTTGCTGTGCAAAATCTTTTTAGTCTTACATAATCCCATTTGTTTATTTTTTCTTTTGTTTTCCTTGCTCAAGGAGATATATCCAAGAGGATATTGCTAAGAGCAATGTCAAAGTTTACTACCTATGTTCTCTTCTAGGAGTTTTATGATTTCTGATAAAACATTTACATTTTTAATTGATTTTGAGCTTATTTTTGTATATGGTATAAGAAAGTGATCCAGTTTTATATTTTTTTGCATGTATCTGTCTAGTTTTGCCAACATCACCTATTGAAGAGACTGCCTTTTTCCTATTGTATATTCTTTCTTCCTTTGTCATAGATTAATTATAGCAAGGGTTTCTCTGTGGGCTCTATTCTATTCCATTGATCTAACTACTTTTAAAAGTGAGCATGCCATTTTTCTCCTGAAAAATTAAAATGAACAACCAAATAAGTTTTTAGTTAATTTATATACTGTTTTCACTGTCAAGTTTACTGTCAGCGCCCATGAGGACTTCATGGATCTTTCCTACATAGAAAAATATTTCCTAAAGAAATATTCTGGAATTCAAGAATTTAGTAGAATTGAAAGGGTTCTAAGAGATTTTTATAAATCTGGAGAATTAACGTTTCTTAAGGTAGTTCCCAGAGATCTTTATTTATTTTTTTTTTTTAAAAAAAGGGTTAAACAAAATTAGGTTGCTTCCCTCAGAGCCTTTAATGTGTCTTATGAATATCTAAAGGAGATGTAGTAAAAATCCAATTTTACACTCATCCTTCCATGGAACCACTTTTTCAGTCTAGTCTGTTAAGGCACCTGTGCACGTCAGGACATACTTTGGGCTGCTTCAGGTAATTTTCAGAGTAAAGGGTTAGTGGTCCATCCCAGGTGTTCAACTCCTCTAAAATTTCCCCAGATCTTTCAAATGGCTGTCGACAACTACATATTTAAGTTAATTGTGTCAGTTCTCATTTCATGTTGTTTACAAGCATGATTTTATTAAAGTGAGATGGGATAAAAAAATAAGATTTTTGTAATTGGATAACATTTTATTTCAATTTTCACCATTTATATATAAACACAAATTAATAAAACACACCACAAAACAGTAACATTTTAGTTAATATGTATTGGTGCATAGTTTCATGCTCACATGTTTTTAAGTTTCACAATACATCATTATTCTTAGACAGAATCATTAAAAGACACCTAAAAATCTTATAATATATGATAATAAGTCACAACTTCTCAACAAAAGCAACAGAAAAATAGTGAAGATTTAGGAATAAGTGGTAGTCACTTAGGTGTTTTTAATATGTTTTAACATTTTATATTTGAAGCCACAATATCCACACAGCACACAAGGACCTGCTATCATATATTCACTTCAGTGAGAGGGAAGCACCGAAATGCTGAGTGGGGGCAGGTACAGATACTCAATCACTGCTGATGGAAGACTCCAAAATACGCTGTAAAAACTTTGGGGAAATGACTGGGCATGTTGGAACGGAGCACTTGTACAGGATGGAACATCTGTCAGCAGACCTCGAGACACTGGGAGCAAAGATATTTCTTAGGCTTTAGGTTCGTAGTCTTGATACCCTCCCTAATATTAGGAAAATCAGAAAGACAACAGGCAGAGTTAGTGTAAGGGATCAGTACTCAAGGACTTAGGGGGAATGATATAGGAAATGGCTTGCCACTTTGAGTAAAGGTCATACTCATAGCAGTTCTGGAACTATTCTGCTACACACAATATAATTGTTGACATTTTTGTCTTCCCATAAAATAGAAAAGTGAATCATGCTGGTGGTCAGGGTATCTGAACTATACTTGTGCATGTTCCATTGAATGAGCATATGACCTCACACTGCAGGACAAATTAGCTGGCCTATCTGGCTCTCAGTTTCCTAAACTGTAAAATGTGAGAATCAAATCAAGTGGCCTATAATGCTTCTCTCAAGGCTAAAATGCTATAATTCTTAGAAGGAAACTAAGACATTTAAAGGCAAGTTATGTTTTCTCTCCTTTTACTCTCCCATTTGAAATTCCATCTCATCCATGGCTTCATTTATTACTTCTATTCCAAAGAACGCTCTCCCAACCCAGCCCAGCTATGCAGTAGATGGATAACATCCACAATAAAAATATTAATGGTCTTAACTAAAATGGTCAGATTAGTCCATCTAAAGAACAACTCTAAAGGTATCACGATTCTGTTCAAAATCAAACAATCACACCTTCAATACCCAAGCACNAATAATAATGGTCTTAACTAAAATGGTCAGATTAGTCCATCTAAAGAACAACTCTAAAGGTATCACGATTCTGTTCAAAATCAAACAATCACACCTTCAATACCCAAGCACAAATTTAAATGAAAAGGTTGTTCTGCAATCTGTCTTTGACCGTCGCTGAAGCTGTAATCTGTCACTATTCTCTGTGTTCCTTAAGTGTGACTCATATTTAAGTACTCACTGTTCCTCAGACACAGCTTTATGCATTCTCAGGCTTGTATGCCTTCACTTCTGATATTCCCTTGTGCTAGAATGTCCTCTCTTCAGTTTGGCCCATCATATGTCCCACCTCCTGCCAGATCAACATCACCTCCTCTATAAAACTTCTCCCAATTGATTTAAACAGACCCTTTAAACTGTTAGACCTTTTTTGTTTAGCTTGTATATGTTTGCTTCTGTGATACCTGGTACAAAGGAGACAATCAATAATGTTTGTTAAAAGAAATCATGATAAACAAATGAAGGAATGAATATGTATTTGTTTTTAGCAAACCTACTGGAGTGTGTATACTTCTGTGTCCTGGTGCTATCAAGTGCTCTTATTTGTATTTCTGTAGTGTTTAGCATTGTTCCATGCATAAAAAGACCCCAAAATATTGGTGAAATCTAATTAGGCAGAGAGGCAATGGAATCTCAATTTCTGTAAATGGGATTACTATCAATAGCCTTTTAATGATGACTTGAAGAATAATGTATAACATAACTACGACACACTTAAATTCAATTTTTAGTGAAACAATCAGACATTTTCTTTTTTTACATCTGGTTTCAGTATCAGGGTAATATTTTTCTCATAGAATTAGTTGGGGCATGCCCCTCTTCTATCTCTTGAAAGAAGATTTTATTAGTATTAATTGTAATTAATTGGTGTTACTGTAATTATTCTTTAAAAGTTTAGCAGAATTCACAGTGAAGCCATCTGGTGCTAGGATCTTCTTTGTGGGTAGGTTTTTAATAATAATTCAGTCTCTTTGTTATACATCTTTTCAGATTCTCTGTTTTCTTCTGAGTCAGTTTCACTCATCTGAAACTATTTTATAATTTCACTTGTGATACACTTTCTATTAAAGAAACTTATTTTCCAATTAAATACAATTAATCAAATTATGCTTTTTAAAATGCTATACTGAATCATATCAGTTGTTGCTAATCATTTATCATTTTTTTACTGTATAATTTTTTGGTTAACTCTTTTACTATGCAAAGATCCCACTGAAAATATATGACAAGTAATAATTTCTTTTGGCATTTAGTTGATTTCTCTAGCTTTCCATTTGAAATTTATTTTAGAATGCAAGACTTCTAATAAAATAATTCTCCAAAGCAAGTTGGCAAACTTTTTCTGTAAAGGGCCAGTTAGTAGATATTTTAGGGTGTGGGCCACATATGGTTTTCGTTGCTGCTTTTATTTTTTAACAACCCTTCACAAGTGTAAAAACCATTTTTATCCTGCAAGTTGTCCTCATAAAACATATCCTGGATTTGGCCGACTTGTTCATCTAGACTAGAGAGTAAGTGGTGAGAAACGTAAGAGAAATCTGAGACTGACAGATTTGGGTACTGCTTATTATAAAGACCTCACTTAAACTCCTAAACTTTACTTTTGGAGTTTTATGCATATAAACTTTTACCTCAGAAGGCATTTCATAAGTCTCAGTGTCAGGATCCCCAGGCGTATCTTCCAGAATCCCTTCCTGTGCAGTTCCTTCTTCACCCTAGTATTTAAATGGAAGCACAAAAAGAATATGATAAGGTACCACTTTTCCATTTTTAAAGTCACAAACATTTTTCAAAACATCTTATATACATTAAAATAAAAGTACATTAATCTTTTATTAATAAATTATCATTAACAGTTGTAAAGATCTTGAGTTACATGAAGTGGCGACAGCTTACAGGTCTAAGGGACAGACTACCTTGGGCACATCTTCCTGGGGAAGCCTGGTCTCAAAAGGGTTTAGTGATTTACTCTGTCAAATTGTCACAGGTGACTTCAGACATTGTGCTCTTAACCACTATCCTGAGAGTTTTGGCATTCAAAACTGTTTTCTTTAATTGAATTATCTATAGATTTCAGTAACTGAGAAAAAAAAGACATTCTATTGTGTCCCTGATTATGCTTGGTCTGTGCCATTAAGACCCAGTGAAGAGTCTATCCCTCCACTCTATGTTATCAGGTCCTCTAACCCTAGGAGTCCATTTTCCTGCCCCTGGTTAGCAGCCCCGCATCAGGGAAATTTTGCTCCCAGGCTCTGTACAGGGGAAAGGACACAAGGCGAGGATCATCAGAGTAAAACCACCTGCACTGTCTGCAGAAACTTACGTTTTACTGGCCTCTAAGGCTGTCACCTTTCCAGTCCTGATCCACAGACTCAACAGAGAATTACCAAGAGGCATTCATAATTCAAAATTGGTTTACTTTGGCAGATCCCTACTCCCCTGGCTAGAAGTCAGTGCAATCAGGCTATGATCAGGACTTTCTCATTAGTTCTTGAAAATACTGCAGAATCTGCTGCTAAAGCAGTAGCTTCCCAACAAAAATCCCTGGACTCTCTGGAAAAGTTGTTCTAGATAATAGGATAGCCCTTCATTATCTTTCAGCTGAAAGAAAGAGGTGTCTTCGCTGTGGTCAACACCACTGGCTGCCTTTAGATGAACACTTCTGGGAAAGTTGAGACTCAGCTACATAAAGTCACAGAAAAAGCCCATTGGCCTGAGAAAGTGCCTCCTTCACTGGAGTCTTTCTCTGTCTTTGATTCTCATTAGTTTGGCTCCCGGGAACCATGGCTCCAACATGCACTCCACACATTGAGAACGATCCTGCTTATAATAACCAGAGCAGTCTCTTTGAGGCACTGTATTTTCTCAAAGCCTTCAAAGGCATGTTTGCAGCTGCGAACTGCCAAGCAGTGATCTCACTAAGAACAGAACATAAGGTGCAAAGAGAATGACCAGCTTAAGGAATGTGAACCTGAATTCATGATCTCAAAATACCACACAGATTTAAAAAATACAAGAACTCCAAAACAGTAACAGAGTAGTGCCAATGCCTTAAATCTTTGATCAGATCTCTCATTTAGGCTGAGAGGCTGTCAAAAGAGGGAAATTCTTAAAAGAAAGAAGAAAAGAAAAGAAAAGAAAAGAAAAGAAAAGAAAAGAAAAGAAAAGAAAAGAAAAGAAAAGAAAAGAAAAGAAAAGAAAAGAAAAGAAAAGAAAAGAAAAGAAAAGAAAAGAAAAGAAAAGAAAAGAAAAGAAAAGAAAAGAAAAGAAAAGAAAAGAAAAGAAAAGAAAAGAAAAGAAAAGAAAAGAAAAGAAAAGAAAAGAAAAGAAAAGAAAAGAAAAGAAAAGAAAAGAAAAGAAAAGAAAAGAAAAGAAAAGAAAAGAAAAGAAAAGAAAAGAAAAGAAAAGAAAAGAAAAGAAAAGAAAAGAAAAGAAAAGAAAAGAAAAGAAAAGAAAAGAAAAGAAAAGAAAAGAAAAGAAAAGAAAAGAAAAGAAAAGAAAAGAAAAGAAAAGAAAAGAAAAGAAAAGAAAAGAAAAGAAAAGAAAAGAAAAGAAAAGAAAAGAAAAGAAAAGAAAAGAAAAGAAAAGAAAAGAAAAGAAAAGAAAAGAAAAGAAAAGAAAAGAAAAGAAAAGAAAAGAAAAGAAAAGAAAAGAAAAGAAAAGAAAAGAAAGAAAAGGGAGAGGGAGAGGGGAGAGGGGAGAGGCGAGAGGGTTTTTGTTGTTTTTTTTTAACAAATATAGATCAATACTCTGTGTAACAAAACTATTTTTGGACAACTAAATAACTTTTATTTTATTATATATTTAATGTAACTCACAATGGAGATAAAAATTGCTTCCCCAAACCACCTTCTTATCCAAAGCCTACAATCGTCTGTGGTCCTTGTTAAAAATGCATCCTGGGGTCCTATGAATGTGTGACAAGTTCCTTGGAAAACACTGCCCAGTATCACCTTATGTGTGTAAACGCTGTGGCATCATTTGGTACAGAATATAGTAACGCACTTGCTGTCGGTATGAATAGGTTAAAGACATTTTTTTAAAAGTCTCCCATTTTGAAGTTGGTAAGGGACTCTTACCAAATGGTCAGGGTCCTAAAGACTCTGAGACACAATACATGGTGATATTTGTAATAGCGGGGTTTCATTCACTACCAGGCATCTAGGCCTTAGACCTTCACAGCGGCAGAAGCGCTCTCTTCCCCATGGCTTTCACACTGAGATATTTTGCGTGGAACCGCTATTTTGCTGCATTGTGGAACAATGAACATCAACCCAAAAGAACACAAGAGCTAAAACCATGGGGGTGGAGCAGAGAGACAGTAACACTAAAAATAAATGAAGAAGCTAAACAAAGAACTCTAACTTAAGAGGGGGGAAAGGTTCCATATAGCACTCATCTTAAGGAATCCAGCATTTCTGACATGAAATCAAGCACAGAACGCCTGTTAAGTGAAAATAGTACAGACTTTCCAAAAATGTCCAGAACCCTTTTTAAGATGGAGAGTGTGTGATGGGTGTAGATCATGTGTCACACTAAGAGCAGTAGCCTTTATTTTACTGAATACTAAGAAATGAAGTAGGCGGGTATGAGAATCTTGTTTAAAGTAAGGCAGGGATGGGTGGGTGGGGAGAGACTAACCTAAGAACTTATATGCATATGTGCAAACCCATGGACACGGACAATAGTGGGGAAGGCCTGGGGGGTGCAGGATGGAAGGGATCAATGGGAGAAGAAAGGGGACATTTGTAATACTTTCAACAATAAAGTTAAATTTAAGAAAAGAAAGTGCCCGGCCAGGTGTGGCTCAGCAGTTGAGCATCAACCTAGGACACAGGAGGTCGTGGTTCGATTCCCGGTCAGGGCACATGCCCGGGTTGCGGGCTCGATCCCTAGTAGGGGCCGTGCAGGAGGCAGCTGATCAGTGACTCTCTCATCATTAATGTTTCTATCTCTCTCCTCTCCCTTCCTCTCTCTGAAATCAATAAAAAAGAAAGAATGAAAAAAATAAAAGGTTGAATATTTAAAACAGCTAAGTAATTTTATAAAGAAATTAAAATTTTTAAAAAACTTGGGGCAAGTACTTAATCTTTAAAACCAAAACAACATAGGTAGTTAAGAAATGCCACTATATTTTAAGTCTTAGTGTTATATGTAGATATAAATATATATAAAGATAGTAATGTAATGACTACATTTACTGTTAATATATCATAAAGAGTGTTTAAATGCATCCTAGTAATTAACCGCTATGACGTGAAAAACCATGAAAATTGGCACGTTCTGCTATAACCAACACCCAAAGAATAATCATCATACTAAAGAGGCATTGAATAACCCCCCACCTCATTTTCCAGTTATGTATGGTTTAATTAAAATTTAATTTTCATTGTTGAGTGAAATGCAATTATGGTTTAGATGTAGGGCAGAATTAAAGCGATCAATGGAATTGGTCCACTCACTGCTTTGTACCTTTAGAAATGCATCAAATATGGCAGACCCAGCATTACTGGGTAGGGGACTTGTGGTTGGTGTCCACTGAACTAATGTGTTCCTTCTGAACCAATAATGTAGACAAGGGGCAAAGAGTTGCAACCTCTAATTGTGTAGTGAAATAGATGTAAAAGAGAATGGGGAAGGAGAAGGGCAAGGCATCAGCAGGAATTAAAGAGTGATAAGCCTGGTATAGTCACAGAGACAAGTCTGTAATTACGGTAGATTGAGTGTTTTTGCACTGCTATTTCAGTGTAGCAATATTTAAGATTATGTTAACTTTCAACCAAACATTTCAAGTTTTGATAATGTAGTGTCTTCTGTGCTTTAGCTATCCTATTCATAATTTTCTACCAACACTGACTACTCACTTGTACAAGACATGCTCTAGGATGAGAGAAAACACGTACACACACACACACACACACTTATTACACTAGCCCACTGATTATCTCTGGGGCTACCTCCTGCGACTATCTTGAATCTCCTAATTAAGATGTTAACTATACCATATGATTTTCATCATAAATTACATATGCAACCACAAGCAAAACCTACCAACAAGGCTGACGGAAGAAGAATATGGCTCCTGGTCACACGCTGGGCTTTCTCATTGGTAAAGTGACCTACTCCCTTCATCAGCTGTGTCATATATCTATTCAGATTGTGTCTCAGCAAGTTTACAAATTACTATGTCATCAACCATCTGGATCACTTGAGAACAGTCAAATTGATGAACATAGCAAGTCATACAATAAGCAGATGACACTATATACATAGTTCATACATACAAGGAAAGCTTCTTGGAATAAAAATGCAAATCTATTTTAATTAAATGCTTTTAGAGAAACCAGTCTTACATAGCTATTCATGCTCTACTTAGGATAATCTATTAGCATATTAGTTACTTTCTTCCCTTTTGCCTTTCTAACTATTTCTTTGGTCTTGGCCATTGGGGGGGGGATGGGGGAGAGAGAGAGAGAGAGAG